CGTCCTGGTACGCGCTCGGCAACAGCCTGAAATGACCATCATTCTGTCAGTTACGTCATTGCCAGCTCAAAAATGGCACGCAGCGTACCATCCAGTTGCGGTGTCCAAGCTCCGCCACGGCCTTCTTAAGCGCCTCGTCCTGCTCGGGCGTCCAGCGCTTGCTCACGACGCCGCCGTTCTTCTTCTTCTGGGCCTCACCCGCTTTATCTGCGTGCGGCTCGGCATTCACGGCGTCACGCCCGCGCTTCCTGTTATCCGGATAACACACTTCCGACCGTCACTCTCATGACCATCACTCTGATTCTCATTTTTCACTTTTGCCAAAAACGTACACTGCTGACTCGGCCACTGATAATTCATAGCGAAAATAAGAAATTGACCGAGTTAGAGGGTGATATGGAGGATTGAGGGCCGACAATGGGCTTACCCATGGGTGCGGGGTGCCTGTCCTGTGTCTGGTTGTCGGTCTATAGGCTTCCTGTTGCCGCTACGTTGCTTCTCGGCCTTCTCGACGCGAGCGGGACCGTGGACTGAAGAGTGAGATTCGCGGCTGGGGCCAATTCTGCGGAAAGACAGTGTACCCACGTCTGATTGGCGTAAAAAACGTCACCTGAGTTTTCCTTTCATTCGTCGATAATCGTGAAAAAATCAAACAATTGGTCGAAATTTGAAATGGGTACATCTTTGCACATTTCACACCAAACTTTGGTGACCGAAAGCGGGTGTGACTCATAATTTTACGGCAACTCTCCCACTGATGTTTTTAAAAGTTTTGTTTACATGTGTTGCTTAGCACATGAAACGATGAAGCGCAACACTGCAACTTAAGTAAATTACGGTATGTTTTTATTTTACTGCCACAAACTTCAGTCCCGGATTTTTTTTTCACTGCCGTCCTATTGCACGCTGAACACCGAGTGATTTTTTTTTCTTTCCACAAGCATATTGGTATGTGGAGTTTTGTCCATCGTTATTAATTTTCCTTTCCAATTTCACTTGTTAAAATGAAAAAAAAAAAAAACATCATTTCCTCGACAATCGCTTCTTGCACGCAGGTCACAAGCACACTTCACTTCGTGTTACACTTCTGCTACCAACGCGGGTTTCCTAATACATCTTGCCCTTGCGAATCGGGCGCATGAGATCCGAGTCCAACAGGTCGTCAATATCATTCGAGATGTTGCTGAGTTCGTACGAGATCCCGTTCGAGTTTCGTCTGGGCATCGATCTGGTCTCCTGAAAATCCAGCGAGTGTGTCAAATTGCGTCCGCTGCTCGTCTCAAAGCTGTGTTGCGAGTACGCGTTCGTCTCCACTGGCAAACTGGCAATATGGTCGTCCTGGATATTTGCATCGCCCCCAGTCGACTTTTGTGCTCGCCAACTGTCAATAAGTCCCTGGAACAGATGTTTGTCTTCGTGATCCAAGTTCTGCACCGCCTTCTGCAACGACTCTGGGTTTTTGAATGAACTGGTTAAACTGTCCATCATACTGCTGGCACTTGAGAGTCGCCCTCTCTCGCCTCGTTCCTTGGATATTGACACTGTGGCACGGAACATTTCGTCCAGTTCGCCACTTGCCAGCAAGTCTTCAGGCGACATGTCTGTGAATGAGGTCAAGCCGCGTGCGCTGCCAAAGCTCAATAAGCTGTTCGAATGGCTACGCAGCAGTTCTTTGAGGATCGCAGCGTCGTTCATCTCATCCTCGGCCTTCACTTCATCGCTCAATGGCTCTACGATAGGTTCTGGGTACTGGGTTGGCATTGGTACTTGTGTTGTGGGGAGAGGGTCTTCCGAGTGAGGCATTCCCATTTGCGGTGGATGCAGAGGTGGCATTGGCATTGGTGTAATGGGTACACTGTTGTCGTGGTAAGGCATTGGGTCGGGGTACCCATTGCCGTAGGTTGGCAACTCGGGCATTGTGATTGGTCCATTCATCAACGTTGCTGCAACATCATCAGGTGTCGGAGGAGCCATCGAGCGTTGCTTGTTCACTGTCATTCCTGGCATAAGTTTCGGACGACCAGGCTTGGCCTTGACCTTTTGGTTCGGGTTCAACGCTTTCCATCTCAACTTCACCGCGTCTTCCGTGCGTCCTGGCAACAATTCTGCAATTTGTGTCCATCGATTGCCCATTTTCTCAAACCCTTCCTGGATAATTGTGTCTTCTTCAGGCGTAAATGGTCTGAATAAAAATAAATAATCAGTATACCAGTATTTCGGTAACAAAAACCATAAACAACTTACGATTTGTTGATGCTCGGGTCCAAGTGGTTTCTCCATCGCTCGCGACATTGTTTTGCTCTAAAATTTTAACACAATTTGTCAGTAAAAAAAAAAAATTAAAAAAAATTATCCAGTGGCAAATACGCACGTTCTTCCGGGGATGTGAGCTGCCACTTCGCCCCATGAGTGGCAGCCTTGCAACACCATCTGCTCCAGCGTGCTGTCCTCTTCGAATGACCAGTGGCCCTTTACCAGCCCAGGCTTAAGCACCTTGTTCCAGCGCTGCAGACACTGCGCGTGGTTGCGTCCATCCACGCGCGAGGCGATGGCTTTCCAGTTGCGCTGGCCGAACTCTTCCACTGCCTTGCGCAGCGCGTCGTCCTGGTCAGGCGTCCAGCGCTTGCCCTTCTCGTCCTCGCGGGGCTTTTGCGCTTCGCTCGGAGTCTCATGGAACGAGCGCAACGCCTCGTCAGTTGCCTCACGCTCGCGTTTGCTGCAATGCCACATACAAAAAACAAGTATAAGATAAACACCATGTTGCAGTTTTCCAGTGCGGAATGGAAAAAAAAAAAATGACCTACACTCCTGGTTCCGCTGCAATTATTTTCATTGACAAAAAAGCGTAGCAGAAAGCGTGTTAGCACGTAGCGAAGACGGAAGCAAAAGCTGCGAGCGCACCCATGGCGTCGTGTCTTGAGCTGCTTGATGCTACGCGCTCCTTGGTGATGGCGATAGAGTGCGAGTGACAGGTAAGGGAAGCACGCGACTTCTTCCGAAGCTGAATTATGGCCCCCAGATGTCGTGAAGAAAAACTGCGAGATTTTCGACCAATGGGAGAGGCTAACCATACTCAACTCAAGTGAAGACCAGGACGCGGAGGAGCAGGCCAAACTTCAAGCGTCTGGTGTACATACACGTTGTCGGTCGTGCATTTGCGCCTCCGAGCCTTGATGCAGGCGGCTCCTGAGCAATCCAAGCTGCGGATTGAAGTTCGGCTAGACCGATCAGATGCGCGGTACAAGTAGACTTGGGTTTACGGCCCGTGGCTTGGTGTTTTACGTAGTCTGGGGCTCATCCGACAGATTGCAAGGATGCGAGCATTGTACACAAAATCTGTTGATCCGCCATCATCGATTTGGTACATACTCAACGTGGAATCATGTTTTGGTGCTTGGAGTCCGAACCTTTGGACTCCAAGCACCAAAACTGATCGTGAGATGACAGCCATCAATGTTTACGTGGAGAGATTGAATCTTGTCTCCGGTTGGATACTCTACCTTGGATCGACTGTGAAGGTAATATGTTCGGGTGTGTGAACTTTACAAATGGCTTCCGGAAATTGACGAGAGCGCGAGAGGCTGGAGTTGAAGTAATTCCTCGCGAAGAAGACGTCGGTGCTGAGCTTTCAGCAATGTGCGCAGGCCTTCCTGATCCTCTTCGCTTGCAGCCAGTCCTCGAGTGATGCAGTTGGCATTTCCTGAAGCATCCAGGTTCGCAACAGTGAAGTACCTACAAACAAGGGTATAAGTAAGCAAATGCTTCTACACTTTGGCAAATGTAGTTGACAGCGTACCCCGAGTGCGACTTTTTGCGCTCTTCCGATCCAAATTGCTTGATGAAAACTTCAACTTCTATGTCGACGAAGTTTTCTCTGCGGACAAGAAATGCGAGCGCTTGTGAGTACACAAACGATCGCTCTCACAAAATGATGGTTAGACACAACTTTTTTTCGTACCGGACGCCACAAACCCGCGCCTCCATCGTTACAACGTCGTTTGTCGTGACTGGCAACTTGAAAGAAATCCTGTTCGCCGATACAGTCACCATATTGCTGTTCCCTGCGAAGATTTTACCGCAATACAACGCCGTTTTGTCCTGCTCAAACCTTAATTCGTAATCCATAGATACACCTCCAAATGCTCCAGATAAACTTTACCATCCACGAGAGGATCTCGCCACCGAAGACTGTACCGTTCCGGTTCAAATGACATGGTAAGAACGACGTCGACAGTGCAACCATAGTGTCACGTAGTGCGACTTTTTCCGACCACTCATTGCGCGGAACGTTGTCAAACATTTCCAGCGAAACATTTGGCAACTCATCGACGGATTTCTCGATTTTCTCCAAGCGCTTCGAGATTTTCTTGCGTTGTCGCGCGATCTCCCGAAGCCGATCGATACGACTCTCGTTACCAGCATCAACCAGCTTTGGCAGTCCTCGAAGTGGGCGATTGTTACCGTCCAGCGCCACTGCTGTCATCACGGCATCGACAGCATGGACAAACTTCCGTGTTGCGATATCGTGGCGATATCCAGTCACCTGCAAACATTCATCGTGCAACTATTTTTCAGTTGCCTGTTATCCCCTTGAGAAGCAAATTTCACCTGGAGAGTTAAAGACGACTGGCCAATGTTGATCAATTCGCCCTCAAGGCGTACGACATCTCCATGCATGATCGGACTAACTGTGTTGAGGCTTTCAAGTGCTGCCATCGCCACCTTATTGGAAATCGCGCTACATTATCACAACAACATTTTAATGATTATTCTGATCATCATTCTCTAATATTCACGAACTTTTCAGCAACAGCTCCGCCAAAGTTATCAAGACGATGCAACAGCGGTCCCAGACTGAGCAACTTGCCACGAAGGTGTTCCTCTCCCTGTCATCAATTGCAAAATTTGATTAACCCGCGGGAATGGTGGTCTCTGATATTCACCGTACAATAGTATTGGCGTATGCCAAGCGCGTTTGCTGCACCGCCACGGTCTTTTTTGCTGCAGTGGACATGGTGGAACAGTGCAATCGCGAGAAGGAGAAGCTGAAGGAGAGAGCACGAAGCATCCGACGTGGCAAGTTCAGGAATGACAGGGGCAGAGTTGGCATCATTGGCTGTTTTTTGTCTATACCATGAAGCAATTGTCGACGTAAACTATGCAAAACCTCACAATTTAGCAGGCGTGGACAAGGAAAGCGGCTCGAGTGTTAGCAATTTGAGCTCTTGGTCGTCGAACGTCCATCGGTGTTGTGCCTTGAGCAATGTGCGCATGCTCTCCTGGTCGTTTTCGTCCACCTTGAGTCCGGTAGAGATCTGCTTCATGCGGTACGAGCGATCCAGGTTCGCAACAGTAAAATACCTGTTCAAAACACCCAGTCAGGTTTTGAATAATAATCACAGTACAGGAAGACCCATACGCACCCTGTATGAGACTTGCGGCGTTCGTTAGAACCAATGCGACCGACAAACACTTCGACTTCGACTTCCAGATGGTGGCGACTGCAAAGGAAGAAATGTTAAACCCATAACACAATAACTTTGAATCGAGAAATAACTTACCGGACGCTGCTGATACGCGCGTGCATCGTTACGATGTCGTCCATAGTAATCGGGAGTTTAAAGAAGATTCGGTTCATGGACACGGTGACCATGTTCTGATTCTTGGTGAAGTTGCGAGCGCAATATAGTGCCACTTTGTCCATCCACGTGAGCACTTCACCGCCGAAAATCGTGTTGTTCCGGTTCAAATGCTTGGGCAAGAAGGAGCTCTGCACTTCGATCAGCGTGTCTGGGATGGGCACTTCGAGTGATCGGCCGTTGTCGTGCTTCTTGAGCATATCGACCGACACATGCGGCAACTGGTCCACTTCTTCCTGGACCTCACGCCATCGAGCAGCAAGTTCTTTGCGCTGGGCTGCAATCTCCTCGTGTTTCCTTACGTACTCCGGGTCGAGTGGGTCCAATAGCTTTGGGAGTCCCGGACTTGGACGCATGTTCTCGTCCAGTGCCACGCACGTCATGATAGCGCTCAGAGTATGGATGAACTTGCCGGCTTCGATATCGTGGCGGTACCCAGTAATTTGAACAGCTAGTGACGAACTTCCAGTGTAAATTACCTCGCCTTCTAGCCGCACGAGGTCACCATGCGCGATCTGGCTCTTAAAATCCACGCGGTCTACCGAGATTGTGGCGATACCTTTGCACGCCACACTATAACAATCTAGATTAGCTCTCAGCATCATTGACACGCTAAATTTCTGCGTACTTTTCGGCGACCGCAGCCCCGAAGATGTCGATTCGCTCCAAGATCGGTCCAGCACTGATCAATTTGCCACTTAGACTTTCCTCGCCCTGCAACAATGGACCAAAACGTTAGATGGTGGTATCGCATTGCGTGAAGAGTTCACAAATTGTACGCACGATGATATCAGCGTATGCTAGGCGGGTATCCCGTGGGTTCACGAACGTTTGGTCTCCGATGGTCTGCATCCTCACGGCGCTCAGGAATCGATTATGACGAGAATGCAACCTCGTCCGCCGCGTCATTCGAGACAGCATTCTCTCTTCAAAATGAACTCACAGCCCAACGTTCACACTTACGTAGGCAGAGTGAAACGCAATCAGGACTGACGTGTTAAAATGCTCTGGTAGTGGACGAGAGCGGACGTGAGCGGACGCGACCTGAAGCTGCCCATCCCCAAACTGAAGTTGGTGGATCAGAGGCTGCATCCCATCCGCAAGATTACCTGCGAAGACTTAAGATTCATGTAAATGCACTTAACATAATGATGTGGACCACATATGAATAAAGATTTCAGACAACACACCAGGCTTTAGCATACAAACTGGAGGAGGCAAGAAGTTCATTATATCTAGAGGTTTATCAAAGGCCCGAGGGTGCGATTAAGGGATGCAGTACTGTGCTACTCAGGAATTCGGCGTTCAAATGTGTAGATAAATGGAATTCGTCGTGCAAAATGAGTGAAGCGTTATTAAGAGAATATTTCTATAAAATTAGAAATGACCTTTTCTAACGTACGGCTTAAAAATGGTAATGGAAGTTGTAAACATGGATAACGTGTATTGGCTCGGCTTTTAATCTCATGTGCTAGTGTTCTCCACGATAAATGACATAATCTATTTTCTCTTCCCCGTGGATGAAGAAGGAGAGAACGAGAGACGATTATCTATCTGGGTGATATGGATTCCTGGGTGGAAACTCAAATCTCTTGAGACTCGATGGAACGCTCCATTCCGCATAAGGGTTTATTCGATATGCCGGGGCCTGTCGGCCCCGGCATATCCGACACCGACCTCCGATCTCCGATACTCCGCTTGATATTTATTTATAGTGTGTAAATTCTCAGAATCTGATAAACGCACTGACTACAAAAATCTCTGCAAGAACGAATGGAGCAGTCGGTTAGCCATACCAGCTCTGAAGATCGGTTGGAGCAGCAGGAAGTC